GTGGTTATGGTAGTTGTAGCAGCAGTAGCAGCAGTAGCAGTAGTAGTAGGGGCGTAGCGGGAGGGGACGATTGAACAATTAGCTTGCCGAAGGACCCAACCATGTGCAGGTTTGATTACCGTCGTTGTATGCACCGTATTCGGAGGGGCTCCCAATAGGGCCACGAAACGTGTGAGGGTGTGCCGGATTTTGCGCGGTGGGCGCATGCGAATGCAGCCATAAGCAGCCATTGACGCCTCCGCTGGAGCTCCCCATGGGGCCACGAAACGATTGAGGGGTGTGCCGAAGTGGGCGTGGGTGACGGATGCAAGCGGTGGCCCCGGGCCTTCGCTGGAGTTCCCCATGGGGCCACGAAACGTGTGAGGGGGGTGCCGAAATCGGTGTGGGTGACGCATGCGGGCGTTGCCATTGGGGCCTTCGGTGGAGCTCCCTAGGGGGCCACGAAACGTTTGAGGGATGTGCCGAAATGGGGTTGGTGACAGATGCAAGCGGTGGCACTGGGGCCTTCGGTGGAGCTCTTTATTGGGCCACGAAGCGTGTGAGGGGTGTGCCGAAATGGGTGTGGGTGACGCATGCGGGCGGTGGCACTGAGGCATTCGGTGGAGCTCCTTATGGGGCCACGAAACGTGTGATGGGTGTGCCGAAATAGGTGTGGATGACGCATGCGGGCGGTGGCACTTGGGCACTCCGTGGAGCGGCCAATGGGGCCACGAAACGTGTGAGGGGTTTGCCGAAATGGGTGTGGGTGACGCATACGGGCGGTGCCACTGGCCTTCGGTATGCTTCTTATGGGGCCACGAAACGATTGAGGGGTGTGGGTGACGCACGCGGGCGGTGGCATTGGGGCCGTTTGTGGAGCGGCCTACGGGGCCACGAAACGTGTGAGTGGTGTGCCGAAGTAGGTGTGGGTGACGTATGCGGGCGATGCCACTTTGGCCTTCGGTGGAGCTCCCTTCGGTGCCACAGAACGTGTGAAGGGTGTGCCGAAATTGGTGTGGGTGACTCATACGAGCAGTAGCACTTGGACCTGTGGTGGATTTCCCGATGGGGCCACGAAACGTGTGAGGGGCGTTGTGCAGCGGGTGATGGTGATGATAATGGAGGATGGAGTAGGAGGGGGAGGAGGAAGGAAGGAGAACGCGCGGTGCAGTCTTTTCAAAACGAGGACCCAACACCACAGGATGGTTGGGAAATAGTACCCGACCCCCGGGTTGGATTAGACGAACCTTTGCAATATAATGAGGGCCCCAGAGAGGGGGGGCAGGGGATTTTCATCGTTTACCGACTCTACGGCTGCGAGTGGCATTGGTGCCCACATTCGCGAATCGTCGGTCGGTGCGGGCATTCGCCTCCTGCTTCCCATCTGGGCATCCTCATCTTGTCTCCGAAGACGAGGGTCTTTGTTTCCCCCGTCGTGGCCTCGATGTCCAAGCCACTGGATGTTTTCGCGGCCGTCTCCGCCGCAGGGACGACTGTGCTGCGTCGGGAGTCTGCCTGGGCAGGCTTGTGATTGGGAGATTCAGATCGCCCGCACCAGCCTGGTCGGCGGGGGCTCGGTGCCTTCGCAGCTCTGGGTCGGCTCGCCCCGCACCTCACCCGGCGAGGGCCCCGAAGCAGCCCACCTGGGGCGCACCAGAGAGGGCCGGTCGCCCCGCCCCAACCTGAGAGGCAAGACAGCCGAGACGCTGAAACAAGGGTCGCTTCGGGTTCGGCGGGGGCTCGTCGTTCCCTGGGTCCGTCCGCGGTTGCTCCTCAAGCGCTCCTCGTGCACCCAGGCGTTGCCAGGACCGGCAAGGGGCTTCGTTCCCTTATCCCCAGACCCCCGACGTCGTGATCTGCTCCAAACGTCGACCCCCAGAGGTGCCTCGACCCCTTCCCCTGGACCAGCTTTCCATCCTGAGTCGTTTGTGACGGCCCCGAGATCCCGTATAAGGGCCTCTGGAGGCCGATCATGGCGAAAAGCCTCCCGCCGTGCGTTGTTCATGAACGAGGGGGGTTGGGTATGGTAGTAGCTTGACTGTATGCCCAGGGGGGACGCGGCATTCGGTGCAGCTCCCCATGGGGCCACGAAACGCTGTACTGCGTGGCAGAGACGCGTGCGAACTGCGGAGGAGGGGGGAGCAGGGAGGAGGGAGGAGGGGGAGGAGGAAGGAGGAGGAGGTGACCCAGGGGAGACGCGACATCCTCGGGGGCGTCGCGCACCAAGGGTGCGGCGAGGGGGCGCGGCCGTCTGAGCCAAGGCGGGGTGCGGTAGCTTCGCGCCGCGTCGACCCGCGGCGACCCCGCCGCCGGCGCTCCGCGCGGAGCGCCGCCGGCGACCCGGCATCGGCCGACGTGAGACGAGCTGACATTCCCAGACCCCCTCGCGGTGTGAAGAGGTCGCGACGGGAAGCTCTTCGCTGCGTTCGCCCAACCGCGGGGGCCCTCGCCTGGCCTCGGGGCCGTCAGAGCATGATCCAGAATTAGAAGCCGGTCTCGGGGAAGGCGTCTGGAGGTCGACGCCGGAGGGGGCCAGGACGAGGAAGAATCCGTTCCAGAGCGTTCCCGAACGCTCTCAGAGCGTTCCTGAACGCTCTGAGAAGACCGCGGAGCCCGATAGATCCCCCAGATGCGCCGGATCTCAGAGATTCTCGATTGGTCCGTACCTGATGTTCTCCTCGTCCTCGTCCCAGTTGCGTCAAACGACGTTACGCAAAAAAACGACTTCGAGGGTCTTGGTTTCACGATCTGACGTCTTGGTAACGGTCGATCGTTCCAGGTCGAGCGATGCCCAGGGTGTCAGAAGCCAGCGCCAGAGTCGGCGCGGCAGGGGCCTCCCGCAGGGGCCCAGATCGGGACGGTCGAAGCGAGCACCACGGACAGGATGGGGACGACCACCGTGGGCCGGGTTCGCTGTCGGCTCTGCCGCGGGCGTGCTCTCTTTGGGGCAAGCGTCGCCGAAGTCGGTGCAGCCGGACCGAGGTACAAGAGCGAGGCCGGCTCGGGGACAGTGCCCTGATGCTCTCCGTGTTTTGTTGGATGGTCTCGTGCATCCTGGGGGAGGGTGCCCTCGAGTGCTCTTCACTCTGGCTTGCGGAGGATCTCAGCTTCTTGAAGGGTGTTTTTCTGTCCCGGGCTGAAATCGGCCACGACCCTCTGCAGGAAGAACATCCCCGAATAGTCCAAAAAATGGGCCAGGGACGATGTGTTGAGCATTTGTTTTTTTCAGTTGTGTTTTCGTTCACTATGATTGTTGGGCGTATGTTTGATTTGTCGTTCGAAATCCCCCATGTAGGAGGACATGCCCGACCCAATCCTGGGTCCGACCGCAAGTACGCCAGGAGCCCGGCGTGCGCTCTTCCTCGGCCGCGCGCTGAGGGGGCGCGGCAGGGCGAGGGGGCGAGGCTTCGCAGAAGCACCCCCCGCCTCTGCGCAGGCGCGGGCCGTGCCTGCAGGCGCACACGCTGTTCGTTTCGAATTCTTCGGAAGTTCTTCGACTTTCTGGGGGCCAAGATCCTTCCATTTCTAATGGTTCCAGCCTGGGCCTCTTCCGGGCCACTGGGGGGCCAGGCACAATTAGGAACGAGCGCAATTCGAAATGGGCACGATTAGAAATGGACGGCGTGTAGGGGCGGGCGCCTTCTGAGAAGGAGCCTCCTTCCATGAAGCCTTCCCCCCTCCCCCGCCCCCTCGTGCTCGCCGCCAAGAAGGACGGACACGCACGTGAATTCATCTTGGTTTCAGAATTCAGAATATTACGATTACGAGGTTGGTCTCGCGGATTGGGCGGCCGTGCTCAGGAGCGTGGTTGGGCGCGTATTTCCTCTGTGGGTTCCCTATTTGTGCGCTCCGCCCAGGGTCCCAGCAGCACAGGGCAGAGGCGGGGGATCCGAACGGACACAGGGAAGGGGGCACGATGCCATGTTCGTATCTTCGCTGGTTCGGGTGAACGTGTTGGCGCTGCGATTTCGATTCGCATTTTGATTTCGCTTCGCAATTTGATTCGCAGGACAATTCGGTTCGATTCAAGCGAGTCGATTCTGAATTCCCGATTCGAGACGACTTAGCTCTGCAGGGAGGCTGCTACAGGATCAGATCATCATTATGCTACTCATTTGTTTGATTAAAAGCAGCAGGATGCCTGGGTTCTGGTTCTAGTCTGTTGGAAATGCTCTTCTGTGTTGAGACTCGCAGCCGCAGGGCCCAGTTGTCTGCAATCTCCTGCTCTGGGAGCTGCCAATACGGTGCGCGTAGGTAGTAGACCTGGGGGCCGCTGGCAACGCAGTCGAGGTGGGCAGCCATGGCAATGGGGCGGATGTCCATCGACGATCTCCACCAGATGCTATGGGTGGCTTTCTGCATCAGTCTGCGGCCTGCAGGCGTCGGATCCCAGCCTCCCGGGCCACAGGCATCCATCATTTGCATCACGGGTCAGCGACTTTCGTCAGTCTAGCACGAATCTTGGGCCAGGGTATCTTGGCGATTGGACAGCAGCATTGGTCGTCAGCTGAGCTGACTTCACGGTGGGTCGTCCGCCTTTTCGGGTGACCGTTGGATCGCGATGTCTGCAGGCGTTGCCCCTCCCGCAAGACGGTTCTGCGACACGGAGGGCAAGGATCCCCAGTCGGCAGCGAGCGGCCCGACGCGAGGCTCGTCGCATGTTCTCGGTCGTTGTGGCGTTATTCGGCTCCTTGGCTCGGTGGTTCGCTCGTCCACCTCGCGTGCCCGCCACTACAGGCCAGGGCAAGCCGTCGCGCAGGGCCCCAGTCGTTATCACACAAAGGACTCAGACCCAATGCGCCAATGGTTGGCGGTGAGCACAGACAGGGGGGGGGGGTGGGAGCCCCCAAACCAGGAGGGTTCTGGACTACTTGTCGACGGTCGCATCGTGTCGCTTTCGCGGCCTGAGGAGCCCACGCTGTCCCGAGGAAAGGGAGATGACGAAAAGTGAGCAAATTGCGGGAAGGACTGGGGCATCGCACGTTGGAGCCATTTTTTCCGTGCAGCCTGCCTTGCACCAGGTGCCCCTGGCGCACGCTTTGGCTCAGGGTGGGTGTGGCTCGTGGTCACCAAGGACAAGGGCTTGGCCATCACGTCGACCCCGAACCAGGAAGCCGCATGAGGAGGAGAAGGCGAGCCACAGTGTGAGTAGGTTCCCATGCATTGGATGCGCCGAAGACTGACGAGTTACGAAAACAATGTGTTGGCACGTCTAGGCTTTGAGAACACGTGTCTGTCGTTTGTCTGGGACACGTGTCAAGAGATTGAGACATTTGATTGCAGTGCGGTCTTCTCCTGATCTCTGCCTGGAGCCCTGGATGATTCCACTTGACCTCAGGCTTGCTCGTTCAGTCTTGACTCGGCGTTATCACCACGTGTGCGTTGGGGAGGTACCCCTGCTCGCTTCTGCGATCTGAGCGAGCGGCAGGTCCGCGACTGAGAAAGTCGGGATAATACCCCGGAGAAGTCTGGGCAGTGATTCTACGGCAAGCCCGATTCTGTCTCGGGGAGCTTGTTTGTCTAGTCGTGCTGCGAACAAGCATTTGGCTATCATTCCCGCACCCGGCGCAAACGCTAGAAATCCTAAATCTGTCCAGCGCGGTCGAGCCAACAAGAACGTAAAGCTTGCGCCCCCCAATCCGGACTTCTGAAAATCAGGCAATCAACACGTGGCGCCCCTCCCTGGGACCCGTTTGCGCGTCCATACGGCTAAGGTGTGTAGCACTTTGTTTTCTGGTCACATTTCACCCTGTTGGTGAGGCTCTTCTTTCAGGTTTTAGACAGGCACACACACACACGCACACTATTGTTGCACAGCGTTGGGATGTATTTTCTCGTCGGAGCTGAGGTGAGACCAGCGCCACTATTGCGAAAATGCTTTCATATGAACCTCAGCACGTTTGTTTCTCTTTGGAGATTGTCAAGTTGTCATGTGGCCGCACTGCTCTTCAGCAGGGCTTGCTCGCTCTGTTATGTTGCTCGTATTGCATTGCCTCCAGGACAACCCGTTGATGGACGGTGTTGAGGGGACACCCGGCATTCCCATCCTCGGCTGCGACGTTTGGGAGCATGCCTACTACCTGAAGTATCAGGATGGCTTTTGAGCACGGGACACGACACTCAAAGCGCACTCAACGATCACGCCAAGTTCATGTTTGTGATTGCCTTCGCACAAGCGGAGAGGGTGATGCCCGGAATCCCAAGTCGTTCAAGATAGTTGTGCATTGTTCGTTTGATGACAACTAATCTTGCAGTTCAAGCGTCCCGACTACATCAAGGCTTGGTGGAACGTCGTGAATTGGCCGGTGGTGGGCCAGTGGTGCCCAGGGCTTTGTCACAGCATAGCGTTGATCGTGAAGTGCAGCTTTTTGCGTGCGACGTTTGTTATTTCTCATTGGGCGGCTTGACTCAACATTGATTGCCGATGCTCATTTAGGGGCTGGTGTTCAGCGATTCCCATTCTCGGCATCCGTGTTTTCCTCCAGAATGTTCACGGGTGCCTCCAGAAACTCTGTTGCTCATTTACGTCGTGCAGTGAAGGCCCCCTCTTCGGGAGAATGAGAGCCAAAACATGATCAGTATGTCATGAATGCGCGCGGGAGCCGACGACGGAAGGAAATGTCAATTGATTTGTTCTGTGGGAACCAGGATAAATGTTGTCTTTGTCTAAGTTGATAGAAGTAAGGCAAAGCCGATCAGAAATGTAATTTACCACGGTGTGTCTGTGTTTCTGGACACCGTCTCGCACGTCGCATGTCAGCATGTCCGATGTTTTGTCGAGGTTTCTCATAGTCGCGAGGTGGTGCAGTAGAGCAGGTGGGTCATATTAATGGGTGCGCCACGAGGTGTCCAACAGAGGAGTGTCACAAGTCCGGCAAGGCATTTCGTCAGAGCGGATGTCGGTTCGAAGCCATAGATTTATTGCAAGCGTTGGACGTGCACTTGCTTAGCCCGCCTATTACTCGCTTTCTCTTTCTCTATGTGTTTGTTGTTCTCTCTCTCTCTCTCTCTCTCTTCCACACTCCCTATATATATATATATATATCCCTGTCGCACGCACGGCCGCGTCAGGTATGATGGCGCCCTACAGGGCAAGGCCCCGACGACTAAGGGCAGTGAGACTGCTTCATTCGCGCTCTAGTTTCCTGCGCTGTTCGCCAGCACGATGCCACATCGATTTTCGCTATCTAGGTAGCAGTTCCTCCTCGCAGGCTGCGAGGCTTTCAGGTTTCAAAGATACTCTGACGAAGATCACACACGGAGCGAGGATCTCGGCCAGAAAGGCGCGCCCGCAATGTTGCCCATCGTTCTTGTTATCTCTCAGTCCGGTTGTCCTCACCGCCTAGCGTGTGTCACTTGAAACACCCCTCGACCCCCTCAGGGTGGGAAAAACACATTCACCTTGTTGAGAACACCTCCAGGGCATGCACACCGCTTCGTGGGGAGCGCGGCCAGACAAGCGTTTCGTCTGCTCCTGGGTCGTATTGGGGATCTCCTTCGGCCATGTTGAGATCGTATTGGAGATGTGTTAAACCATCTCGGGGCCTTTTCGGTCGTCTTGGGTCTCCTGGGTAGTCTCGGTAGTGTTTTGTCGCCGTCTCGGGACCTTATTGCGCCGTCCTCGGGCCTTCAAAAGCCGCCTGAAGCCTCTCGGGGAGCTTTCTTGGGCCGTATTAGGTCCCTCAGGGGACCCTCTTGGAGCGTCTGTTGGACCCTCCTCGGCCATTTTGGACGCCCTGAAAAAATCCGCACATGCCGACATCGTGGAACAAAAAATGGCCAACCTACGGTCCGTTTCTCTGGCAGGTCCTACTGGGGCCGCCGTGAGCCGCGTCGGGTGTCGCTAGGGCCGTATTGGGTCACATGTAGGACATGAGATGGCCACTGTTGCCTTGCGAAGATCGCCGCCAGAGGGCGTCCTTGCCGTCTCGGAGGCCAGCTGTGGCCGTCCTCGCCGGAATCCTGGCGTCATCTCCAGGGCTTGCTGGGCGCCCCGAGGTTCCCCTCCCCGCACTCGTATGAACGGGCCCCCGCCGAACGAGTGTGAGGTCCTGGGCCCGCTAGCGTTAAGTCGGGCCTGTCCCTCTACAGGAGGAATATTCAAAAATAGTCGAAAATAGTATGGGGACGATTTTTAAAGCATGTTTGCCTATTCGGGGAGTGTGTTTTGAGTATGCTCTATGTTTCGCCCGGAAGCCCCCTGTAGGGGGACACGCCCGATGGAAACGGGCCCACGCCGAACGAGCATGAGATCTTGAGACCGCTAGTGGGACTGCGTGGCCTCGCCTTCGAGGGATCGCCTTCGCCTTCGAGGGATCGCCTTCGAGGGATCGCCTTCGAGGGATCGCCTTCGAGGGATCGCTTCAGCAGAGGGGCCTCGCCTTCGAGGGATCGCGGGGCGGGCGCTCCTCGGCGGAAGGCCGGCGGAGGGCGGCGAGCAGGCAAGAGCGGGGGCGGGTCCGCGGGCGGATGCAGAGCATGCGCCCCCAGGAGGTGCCATTTGCTGCTTTGGATTCCCGCTGCGTTCGCCCCTGGGCTTGCTTTGGCTTTTTGGGCTTCCCCGCTCCCCCGCTGGCTTTCCTTCCGCTTCCCGCTTCCAGGCCACTTTAGTGTCTTTGATCTTCCATGAGTTGTGATATAAATAAGAGCTGCGCTCATCGTGACAGCGTGGACTAGGCCTTAGGGCCTGTTTCGTCCGTCCGCCGCCGCAGCAACAAAAAAAATATCCTGGCGAAGGACCCAACCATATGCAGTTGTGAGTATCGCAATTGTGAGTATCTTCTTCGGTGGCGCTCCCTATGGGGCCACGAACCGCATGAGGGGTGTGCCGAAATGTGGCGGGGTACACAACGCAAAGGAATACGATAGATCTGATTACGAAAGAAAGAACGCGGGTGAGTCAGAGCGCGAGGGAATCTGAGTATGAATGGGTCTGCGCGCGAATGAATATATTTGCATGAATGCGATCATGGAAACGCCTAGTGTAAGTGTATATGAATGTGAATGGTTCGAGCATGCCTGTCCGAACACACGTGACACTGGGCGTGGCCGCCGCAGGCAGCTTCCGCGGGAACCCCGACGGCAGCGTCCGCACGTCGCGACGCCCATGTCGGCACGCCTCTTGCGAGGATCGCGCCCGCTTTCGGCTCTTCTTTTCCTTCCTCTTTGCCCGCGCACTCCAAAATCCAAGGCTGCGGGCGCAGCGCAGCGCGGAGTCCCCGCGACGCGCGCTGGTCGCCCCGGGCGGGGCCCCAGCGACGCGCGCGGGTCGTCCGCTGCGCGAAGCAGAGAGAGCTGACTAGCTAACTGGCTGGCTGATAGCGGGCAAGTCTCTGACCGCTGGGCAGAGCGACGACGGGCGAACGAGGCGCCGGGCCCCCCGCAGCACGGAGTTCCCGCGACGCGCGCTGGTCGCCCCGAGAGGGTCCCAGCGACGCGCGCGGGTCGTCCGCGGCGCGAGGCCAAACAATTAGTCGGGCAGTCGAGAGAAGGCGCAGCTCGGGGGAGACGCTCCTCAGGTCAGGCCTCGCGGATGAACTCGGTGAAGCCGAGCTCCCTGGCGAGGGCCGTCGCTTCCCTCCTGCACCGCTTCGTGCGCGCAGCAAACTGCTCCAGCTGCTTCCGCAAGCCCTGCGGCGGCCCTGCCAGGAAGAACTAGATGCGCGGCGCCCGCATGAGCAGGAGGTCCTCGTGGCGCGTGGCGCGCGAGAGCAGCACGTAGAGTTCCAGCCACCAGTCGTCGTCCTCCTTCTTGCCGTTCCCTACCTCGTGGCGGCCGCAATCCAGGATCACGTCTGGGCGACGTCGACCGAGGGAGCAGCGCGCCGGGCAGCCGACGGCCCAGGGCGAGAGTCCACAGGACCGAGAGATGGTCTGGCCGCGGACTGCTCGCGCCCGGAGGTTTGGCCGCCCCCGGAGCGCCGTTTCTCCGCCCCGTCGCCTTCGCGCATGGTGCGCCCCTGGCACGCCACCGTGGTGATGACCCTGCCGTGCGAGAAATGCAAGGGGGGTGCCGAAATGGGTGGGGGTGACGCATGCGGGCGGCGGCATGAGGCCTTCGGTGGAGCTCCCTATGGAGCCACGAAACGTGTGAGGGGTGTGCCGAAATGGGTGTGGGTGACGCATGCGGCCGCGGGCACTGGGGCATTCGGTGGAGCTCCCTATGGAGCCACGAAACGTGTGAGGGGTGTGCCGAAATGGGTGTGGGTGACGCATGCGGCCGCGGGCACTGGGGCCTTCGGTGGAGCTCCCTATGGAGCCACGAAACGTGTGAGGGGTGTGCCGAAATGGGTGTGGGTGACGCATGCGGCCGCGGGCACTGGGGCCTTCGGTGGAGCTCCCTATGGAGCCACGAAACGTGTGAGGGGTGTGCCGAAATGGGTGTGGGTGACGCATGCGGCCGCGGGCACTGGGGCCTTCGGTGGAGCTCCCTATGGAGCCACGAAACGTGTGAGGGGTGTGCCGAAATGGGTGTGGGTGACGCATGCGGCCGCGGGCACTGGGGCCTTCGGTGGAGCTCCCTATGGAGCCACGAAACCGTGTGTGGGTGACGCATGCGGCCGCGGGCACTGGGGCCTTCGGTGGAGCTCCCTATGGAGCCACGAAACGTGTGAGGGGTGTGCCGACGCATGCGGCCGCGGGCACTGGGGCCTTCGGTGGAGCTCCCTATGGAGCCACGAAACGTGTGAGGGGTGTGCCGAAATGGGTGTGGGTGACGCATGCGGCCGCGGGCACTGGGGCCTTCGGTGGAGCTCCCTATGGAGCCACGAAACGTGTGAGGGGTGTGCCGAAATGGGTGTGGGGGACGCATGCGGCCGCGGGCACTGGGGCCTTCGGTGGAGCTCCCTATGGAGCCACGAAACGTGTGAGGGGTGTGCCGAAATGGGTGTGGGGACGCATGCGGCCGCGGGCACTGGGGCCTTCGGTGGAGCTCCCTATGGAGCCACGAAACGTGTGAGGGGTGTGCCGAAATGGGTGTGGGGGACGCATGCGGCCGCGGGCACTGGGGCCTTCGGTGGAGCTCCCTATGGAGCCACGAAACGTGTGAGGGGTGTGCCGAAATGGGTGTGGGTGACGCATGCGGCCGCGGGCACTGGGGCCTTCGGTGGAGCTCCCTATGGAGCCACGAAACGTGTGAGGGGTGTGCCGAAATGGGTGTGGGTGACCGAAAGCTGGGTGTGAGGGGTGTGCCGCTGGGGCCTTCGGTGGAGCTCCCTATGCCACGAAACGTGCCGACCGCATTCGGTGGAGGCCTTCGGTGGAGCTCCCTATGGAGCCACGAAACGTGTGAGGGGTGTGCCGAAATGGGTGTGGGGGACGCATGCGGCCGCGGGCACTGGGGCCTTCGGTGGAGCTCCCTATGGAGCCACGAAACGTGTGAGGGGTGTGCCGAAATGGGTGTGGGTGACGCATGCGGCCGCGGGCACTGGGGCCTTCGGTGGAGCTCCCTATGGAGCCACGAAACGTGTGAGGGGTGTGCCGAAATGGGTGTGGGGGACGCATGCGGCCGCGGGCACTGGGGCCTTCGGTGGAGCTCCCTATGGAGCCACGAAACGTGTGAGGGGTGTGCCGAATTGGGTGTTGATGATGATGATGATGATGGGAGGGGGGAGGAGGCAGCGGGAGGAAGGAAGGAAGGAAGGAAAGAAGGAAGGAGAACGCGGGGCACCGTCTCTTCAAAACGAGGACCCAACACCACAGGATGGTTGGGAAAATAATGTTGCTTTGGATTCGGATTGCACGAAATGTTTTTAGAACCATTTCTGGTTGGGACCGTCTTGTTTGAGTGCATCGCGCTTCCGTTCTGAGGACACTTGTTATCATAACAGTTTTGGGTTCTAGGAACGGTTCGTGGTAGGCCCACAGGGATGCCGGGACGGTCCGTCCCTGCTCAGGTTTCAGGGTTGAGAGACCCCGCCACATCGGGGGGAGAATCTCACACGATTGGTGATCCTAACGGGGTCGGCGGATATGCTGAGAGGCCACCAGCGTATTCTTGGGGCCCGTTCGGCGGGATGCGGTCGATGGGGAGCGGTTCTTGGGCCCCGTCCACTGCCCGTTTCTTAGGCAAGCAGTGTCGGATGTGTGTTTGCGACATGGGGCTATGACCTCGCGCGGTGCGGTCCGCGAGTGGCGGGAAGG